CTTTTTAATATGCCCAGTTTTATTACAAAAGAAGCATTTTCTAGACTCTCCTCTATGCTTGTTACTGTCCCTTCCATTTTTTCTTATTTCTAGCCCCCTGATTATTCTGATTTCCGTTGCTAGTTTGACTAGGTTCTGGTCCACTCTTAACAAACAGATTTGTGCCATTTCGTTTCTGGGTTTTCAATTCTAATTCTCTAGCCCTAAGTCCTGCTGTTATTAGGTCAAGATTTGGTACAGTACCTAAGTACTGTAGGGCATTCTTGACTACCTGATAGTCATCAGTCAAGGAATTCAATAGAATCATGGCTAGACTGGTTTCTCCTAAAGCTTGATCTGTCCCTTTTAGGACCAAGGTCATTTTCAAAAACTCGTCTAGGTTTTCATCTATACTCTTAGCACTATCCATTTTATAAGAGAATAAAGCTCCCTTTAAAAAAGCTAGGTTAGGGGCAGATTGCAAAGCATACAAGGTAGTGAGTTTACCCCAGAGTTCAATCGGTGATTCAATTCCATCTACCTTCCGGAGGATGCTGTCGGACAGATTCATGATTATCAGATTGTACGCCTCCTCATTGATCTCCTCTTTCTTTTTCAACTTCTCCTTTGGCCACTTTTCAGAGTTCTCTTCCAATGCGATGGCAACCTTGTTGTGAGAAAGCAATGCTTTCATCTTTTTGTTCCAACTCCCAAAATTGATCTTCCCATCATATTGGGAGATCTCCATATGAGTGGTACTCATTACAATATAATGGTAATAAAGAAAACAACAAAGAACCTAAGAAGGTACGCGGCGTTGTTACACCAGAATTTGCCAATTACTGCCAGGCAGTTTTTAAGGCGGTTACTAGTTTCCAGCCTATATATCTTTAGAACTTAGCCAAGATTTTACTTCCTAGATCCTATTGGAGACTAGAAGGAATCACAGTTTCGAAAAGCCCCAATTTCCAGAAACCCTAATTTCGTAACAAAAAACCCTAATCTCCAAGAAATGGCTCTGATACCACTGTTATAACCACTCACAAAAGGAATCAACCAAATAACAAAAGATCAAAAACAAGAATCACAAAACACATACAAGAACAACCAAATTTTACCGTGGTTCACTTGCTCTATATTTGAGCAAGCTACATCCACATTGAACTCGGGAATCACACGAGCTCGCTGCACTAAATCACTGTCAAGATTACAGATTACACATAGCAACACAAATCCCTCAAAAACCCCTTCTTCAACCCTTAACTCACCCTAGAGATTACACCCTTCGAATCCCTATAAACAGCGTATACAATACACCCAGAATGACCTGACCCAGTCATTCAATCAACAAGTTACAAGATTCACTCAACCCAGATTGAAACCCTAAAAGACTCAAAATGGTGTTTAATGAAAAAGAGAGAGATTTGCACAAATGAATAATGCGTAAAATGCCAAAATAACTCTGCTTTTATATGGTTGACATTGGGGTTAAATTTTAGCCATTAGATCTTCTTTTCATCAACGCTCAGGATTGTTTCTTCAGTTTGAATCAAAACGATGTCGTTCCATTTAAGTTCTAATAAGACAGCGTTTCAAGCCATCATCCAACAATAAATGTAGCAATTAAGAAAGCAAAATCAACTTGACAAGAAAAGAAGGAAAGTACTTGGTAAAAGAAGAGGAAGCGAGTTGAGGAGGAAGAGAGAAGGGCTTGTGTTCAACTGTTCATAGCTGCAAGAGTTGGTTTGAAGTGAGTATGGAGGTTCTTGTTTGGTTTATGAATCGATTTATTCTGAACATGTTTGATCTGATTTCTCTAAATTCAACACAGCAGAAAAAACAAGTGAATTTGTGCTGTGAAAGTCGGCAGGAGCAATACGGATTAATCCGACCATGTTACACTTATTTCATTTATTTTCTTTCACAATAAAATATTTGTGCAGTTTATATCATGTATGTCATTTAGATGAGGATTCTATATATCTTTTTTGTTACACATATACAATATGATATGATATAATAATCTTAAATACAGTCTATTGTTTTACGAGAAAATATTATTATACTCTTTATGTTAATTCTATAGAGACAATAAGAATTAGGAGGTTGCAGTAACATTATTATAATTTTACAGATTGATAAAAATATCCTCAAATTATCCAGTGATTATTAATTGTTAAGCAGCTGTGATTGATATGAATAATCACCACAGTTATATTGATAATAACATAATTAATTAGTCAAAGTGGTTAGTAGATTTTCAATAATCATTTTTATCTTGATTGTGCACACCTTAAGGTATTCCAAACATTATCTTACTGTTGCAAATAAATATTTTCAAGCCATTTTTTTTAACAATAATGCTAGAGATACAAATAAATCTTACAAAGATTTTTGTACAAAGCAATGTGATAGGAAATGAATGGAAGAGTGAATATGAAAAGTTCTATTCATGTTTAGCTTAAAGGTGGAACAAATGGGCCAGGTTAGGCAGGTCAACCCTAACCCGGCCCGCATTAGAGAGGGTTCAACCCGCATGCAACCCTCGGGCGGGCTGGGTTGCTATATGGCAACCCGTATTTTGTTTGCATTAGCCAACCTAGTGAGTTGGCCCAAAAAAAATTAAAAAATTGATTATTTTTTTTCAAGTTTTCCCCATTTTTTTAATTCTTTTAATTAAACTATTATGATTGAACTCTTACAAATAATTTTACACAATAATATTAAACTATACTTCTAAATCATAAATATTAAAATGTATAAAACTTCGTAATATTTGACATATTGTTATTATTATTTTTTATGGTACGTAAAATATAAAAAAAATAAATACTAAAGTCTTATTCTCAAATTTCCATGTTTTGTATAAAATATAATTCATTATTCTGCTAAAATTTCATCAATTGAATGAATAAATCTAATTTTTCTTATACTACAATTTTATTGTATTAAAATTGAATTAATATTTGAAATGTTAATTAAAAAAATTAATTTAATTGAATTATTGATATTTGAAAAGTTAACTAAAAACAATTACATTTATTCATTTATAAATTGTTAATTATTTATTTGAAAAGTTAAATAAATAAAACAAAATAAAATAAAAAATAAAAAAATAGGGCTAACCTGGACCGGCCCGTAGCCTAACCCGGCGGGTTAGGGTTGGCGGGTCGGGCTAGGCCAACCATTTTCCCAAAAATGGCGGGCCTAACCCGGCCTGCCTTTGTTGGCAGGCTGGTTAGGACCAACCTGCCTAATTAAGTAACCCGCCGCGGGTCAGGTCGGGTCGGGCCGGGCGGGTTACTTTTCCACCTTTAAGCCACATCACTTTGTATAGAAATCTTTGTTAGATTTCTTTGTACCTTTAGCATTACCTTTTTTTTTTAAAGATATATAACTATTGGCTATTCCGTAAACAAAAATATTATTGCGTGAAACAAATAGTATTAAAGCAAGTAAATATATTTGCTTTGGCACCAAAAACAAACAATAAGAATGATTGAAAAAGCCAAAAAATTACAGTTCAGTCTCGATTTCTACTCGGGTACACGGGTCTCGGTTCCGGCTTCTGGTTTCGATTTCGGTTCCTGCAATGATGAAACCTAAACAGGAACTGCACAATACCAGATCCAATTCTTTAAAACAGAAACCAACCTTATGACGGTCGATTCTGGGTAGGAATCGGAATCGAAATCGGAACCTCAGGTACCCACCGGTTCCAGTTCCGACCGATTCTTTTACACACCCCTAACATTCACCCCCTTGAGGTTTGGGTCAAACAACCCTAGTTAGTAAATACGGGTACGGCAAAAAAAGGGTATGGGAATTTTACGGGTATAATACGGCAAACAGTGAAAAGTACGTTTATAAAAATTCGGCTATAAAATTCAGATACGGGAAAAATACGGTACGGGTATATACGGGTTTAATACGGTGCATTATCAATAATACGTTTTGAAAAATACGGTAATATCAATCTTAGTTTTAATACTTTAATGGATTACTTGACTAAAATCAATATAGTATTTCAAATGCAAAGTATTCAATTAACCAATAACACAAATATACAATATATAACTGATATTCAAATTATAGTCTCCCGACTCAAACACAATATTTAGCCATGATTTCTTACTAATTTAAAACTTGATAAGTTTGATATTAAATGCAACCAATTTTAACTTCCCATTAATCCATTAAATTATTTAAATCAAAAACTAAAATTTTGTCTCACAAATCTATATAAAAGATTAGTGTTACAATAGTCTAACTATTATTTTATACCTATAATATATGGCATATATTATAGGTATAAAATAACACATTTTATATTTCATTACTCCAATCTAATTTATTAGATAGCATGGAAATAATTTAAAATATAAAATGTGTTTTGACTTTTGAGTTTAAAATGTAAAGGTGTCAAGTGTGGGGGAATGGGCGGGAAAGTGGATGTCTTTGAGAGGGTTATTTTTTTATTCCCCCATTTCCAATCTCTTCTCTTAGCCACTGATTTATTTTTCCCCATTAAAACGACGTCGTTTCAATTATTTATTTATTTTTTTCAAAAATTCGTGAATTATACGGATACTCTAATAATTCGCCAATAATTCGACAGTCCTTTGTAAAATACGTATTTTATACGCATATTTACTAACTAGGCAAACAACTACACAACCACAATGATATTGCCACACCCATATTATGTGAAAAAAGCACCTGTATAATCAAATTTTAATTATATTCTCTTGGTTTTATTTTTTTGGTAAATTTATGTCATTCGTACATTCTTATTGTTATATCTTTAAAAAAAAATTATCATATTAATCAGTTTGATAATTTAATTTAAATACAAAAACTTTTAATTTAAACTTAATATGAAACATACTTTTGGATAATTTCACAACTCAACAGCTGATCTACTAAATTTGAGAACAGCTATATTTATTTATTTATTTATGCAAATTTAAATTATAGCTTACTTTATAAATCAGAAAATATTATACCGAAATTAAGTTAATATGAATGCTCTATCCTGTGATTAGCGGTGTTCAAAAGAACCAATTGGAACTGGAACTGACGGATACCTAAGGTTTGGTTCCAATTCCTACCGGAACCGGCCGTCAACGAGTAGGTTCCGATTCTAAATTTTTGGAACCGTTACTGTGCAATTCCAGTTCTCATTCCTATAGTTAGGAATCGGAACCAGAACCAGGAACCAAGACTAATGTAAAATAAAATTAAAGAGTAGAAAGGTTAATAAAAACTTTTGTAGAAAAAGTAATGTAAATACATTTATATTTATATTTCATAACATTTAAAGTAAGTTAGTTTGACTTTTGAGAATCTACCTTTACAAAGTAATGGAGTTTGCAATTTTGAATTTGAATTTATAATTTGTAATTTTATTTTTGTTAACAAGTGTCAGGTGAGGGGGTATTTGTAAGTTTTTAAGGGTTTTTTTGCCATTTTAAAAACTTTTGTGAGGTAATTGTAATTTTATAGGGTACCCAATACCGGAATCGTTGTTACAGGTTCTGGTTCTAGGTACCTAGGAACCAGAACCGTCAGTTTTGGTTTCGATTCTGGTTTCAAATTTTAAGAAACTCTCGGTTCTAATTCTTTCAAAAAATACAGGATACCCGGAACTGAAGACTTCCGGCTATGGTGCAATATAGACTATCGATCAGATTGTCTCACCCCAGATCTGCGAAAATAGCTCTCATTTGTTTTGGAAGATAACACCATGCACGTGTTAGCATCCCAACTCACCACTGTAATTTCTTTCCCTCTATCTCTCACTTTGGTTCACTTTATATTATCTTCCAATTTTTCATTTTAATTTCTTACTTTGCAAAATTTTGTGCAACACCCGTGTAGAAGAAGACCTGGGCATGTTCAGTCTCGTAACTTCTCATCCCACATTCCGACAGGTGGATTTTTTATTTTTGTGTTTTTCTGGGTAATAATTTGATTCGCTAATGCTCTGTTTGGTTGCAAAGAAATTAAAATTTTAATTTTAACTTGATTGACTTGTAGATGAGCTCCATATCGTTGTCAGAAAGACAAGGTGGTTTTTCGCTGCTGGGGCTGCAACTTGGTTTGGATATCTTTATGGTTTTCCTTTCATGGGTATGAGAATCGATTTTCGAAATCAATTTTTGACAAGCTTATGTTATTGAAAGTTGTTGCTTTTGAAGGTTTCTTAACTTTGATCTTATGATTTGCTAAAATTAGGAGATGATTTGAAGATGCGACACGCCGTGTCACTTTTGAAATCCAATAATCCCTTGTATAAATATTGGGGAGCTCATAGATTAGCCCGTTATGCAATAGATGGTAAAGATTTGTTCTTACTTCTTTAATGGCATTATTGTTAAGATTGGAGATTGTTTATGAAGTGCATCTGATATTGTAATTTTGGTTTGCTATTGATCACAGATGAAAGGAGGATGAAAATAGTGGAGATTGTTGGTGCTCAGGAGCTTGTAAATATGTTGTGGGATGCTAGAGACTATTATACACGGTTACAAACACTAAAGGCTCTTGTTGCCCTTTCTGGCTCAGGTTAGTTCTGTTTGCATTTAGATGCCCTTATGAGTTAATCTACGGATATAAAAGAAAATATGGTACTACTTTGTGACTAAGGCAATGACACTGATAACATTTATTTATAACTCTTCCAATATGTTGTATCTCTCAAAAAATAGTTGAGAGGCAAACTTGTTTAGGGTAAGTGAACCATCAGTAATCACCCTTGGGAAGCTGTATGATGCCTTGAAGTGGCCAAATTGAATGTAGAGATCCATAAGATATTACTATGATAGAGTGCATTAAACGTGGAGTAAAATAAGTGATGCCTATTATTACTAATATTTGTTTTCCCATTGTCCTATTACACAGATGAAGCAGTTGGGGCTTTACACCGTGGTGGGGCAATATCAGTTATAAAGTCCACTCCACAATCCTTGGATGGGGCAAAAATATTTGTGAGGTCCACTTCACAATTCTCTGAGGCTGAAATCGAGAAATACGAGTCAAGCCTACTGAAGAGATTCCAAGATCTGAGATATGATATCATCGTGAGATTGGTGTGAGTATGTATTGTTTGAGTGGATGGTGACCTGTTAAACAAACTTGTTCTCATGTTGAATTTCTTTAGTGGAGCGTATGAATTACCCTAAACAAACCCATGATTCTCATTTCTAGGTTTTATATTTCTATATTTCCCATAACTTAACATGTTTATCTAAAAGTTGATTTAGATTTAGAGGTACTCATGGCATTGATGAACTTATGATGACATACGAAGCATATTTGTTTGAATCTTGGCCTTTGACTTTTCCCCATTGATTAGTATTTACCACATGCCTCTTTGATCTTCCCTCTAGAGAGATGAAGGAGAGGGAAAAATAGAGAATTAAACCTCTTCCTTTGTGGTCGGATGGCAAATCCTTTAGCTACTGGGGTTAGTTGTATTTAGGGGGTTTTGTGTTCGAGTCGCATGAAAGGTACCTACAATATTTGTGCAATTATTTTGGTCCATTGGGCTTGTAGGGTGTTTCGTGACCCTGAGGATTAGATAGGCTCCACGTGGACATGGATACCTCGGGTACCCAAAAAAAAAAAATAGAGAATTGATATTTGTTCCTCATTATTCATCATTGTATTTGGCTTGTTTGTAAACACAACATAAAGAAATACAATAACAGTGGACATAAGATTTGCTCATGCATCCAAACCACTTTAAAAACTGTTTTATCCCCTACATTCCTCAGTTTCAGTTCTATGTTTCTAACCCACAACGTTTCATCTTTTACTTTATTTTGATCCACCATCGAAGTATTAGCTTCTAGCAAGCTTTGACGTTGGTTTCACCCAGAGATTGGTGTACCTCTCGTTGGTGTAGATTTCAACATCAACATATATTAACACTGAGGATTATTTAATCCTAAGGAAACTCAGAACCATAGGTTGATAGTAAGTAAAAAAATGGTTAAAAAATATATCTTAGAAAATTAAACAATAAATCTGTCTATTAACTTAAATGATTTCTAATTTTCAACTCCAAATTTCTCAAACACTTTTCATTTCTTTAGTTTTTAATTAAACAATGGAAAATCTAGCAGAAATCTCGTCAAAATTATATGCAAAGACCACCATAAAACCTCTTAATCTGTATAAAATTTGTCTTCAGTTCTTTTAGTTCTCCATTATAAGCACTTTTAAGGCCAATTTCATCAGTTGGAGAGAATATATAAGACATCATCAATGTCATATTATTTATTTGTAGAATGTTTTAGTGGAGAATATATGTAATATAGGACCTCTTAATTTGCAAAATTTTTGTCCTGATTTGGTTAATTTATAATATATGACAATCATATATATAATTAACAAATTCTTTTTACTTCTAAGACCAATATCTCTAGATAGAATAATGCTACATTTATAAAAACTTTGTATAAAGTCATTTATACGGAGTCACGTATCTGATTAAACTTTATACAAAGTCATTTATACGAAGTGTCGTATCTGATTATGATTGGAAGAATTAATATGAAAAATCAATTTAATAAATATACATTAAATTAAAACATTTTATGAATTGAGAATTTTGAACAAAATAACAATTTTTTGATGAGAAATTAATCTGTTCGTCCTTTCATTTTTNGTTTTAATTTAGTATTTATAGGGAGTGTTACATATTTGAATTTTATGAGATGAATTTATTCCAAAAATCATGTGGTTATAAGGAAATGAATCTTTCAACAGCTGGATTTCGAATTTTGAAAGTGAGGATGAATATTAATTGAGGATTTTCTTGAGCTGATTGAGTGAAGGGCATATGAGTATGACTTCCAGTAGATACGCATACACCTACTTATGCTCAACTTTTCTTTTAAGGCATGTGCCTTAGGAGAGAATTATAATCTATTATCGTTTATTTAGAAAAGAAAACACAAGTCATTTTATATTGAAATTAATAAACGTTAGCTAGGATGTTCTATCTCTATTTATGGAGGGAAACCAAAGATATATTTGTATTATGCATTCAAATTAAAAATGGTTTCTAAGAAAATTCCGTGTTATTTCTGTTGATGCTAGATTTTGGCACCAACTAATTGTCATATGCGCAGCGTTGATTGGTCAAAAAACACACGTGATAATGAATATAGAAAGCGAAATAAATGCTATGAGAGCTTTTAAAGTGGTTCGGATGGTAAGGTAGCAAGTCCTACGTCCACTGATTTGTATTGATATTGATAGTGTGGGTCAGGTCGCAACAGCGGACTGACTTACAAAAGATTTAGAAAAAAGTAAATGTGTTGTTTACAAGAGAGAGAGTTTTTTGTGTAAAAATGGCCGAATCCCCTTAATGAAGGGGTCTTCTTCATTTTATATCAAGCTGAAGCATGTAATCATCATTAAATCCATGGGTTGGTGTGATTGTCAGGATATAACCCGGCTTTATGTCCCATTACCCTCTTTCCAAGCTGATTTCGCACGGTTTATTGCAGGGAAATGGACGCGTGGGAGCCTCATATCATCTGGCAAGCCTGACGTGTGCTTGTTTCTCTGACGGGAGCAGGTCACTCTTCATCACGTGACTTTCCCACGTCAGCCCTTAATTACCCGGGCATAACAATTTCTTTATTGGTTCTCTACTGGTCCTTCCCTTACTTTTTAACTTTTTTTCTTTTTATTATCTTATCATTTTATTAGCATTTGTTTGTTTAAAATTCTAGGTACATTGGGTTTGTTCTGTGTTTCTTAGCTCCTCCATTTCTTAATTAAAAGGAAGAATATATCTTTATTTGAAAGAATCATTTCCAAGCCTCATATAGACAGTTCAAGAACTCATTTTGTATCACACAAATACAAATCAAAGTTGTTATGCCTGGGAAATCAAGGGCTGACGTGGGAAGTCACGTGATAAAGTGTGACCTACTCTCGTCAGAACGGTAAGCGCACGTCAGGCTTGCCAAACGCTATGGAGCTCCACGTGTCCATTTCCCTGCTCCAAATCACGTGAAATCAGCTTGGGAAGTGGGCAATGGGATGTAAAGCCGGATTATGTCCTAACATTCACACCAACCCATGGATTTAATGATGATTACACGCATTCATCTCGTTATAAAAAGAGGAAGACCCCTTCATTAAGGGGATTCGGCCATTTTTACACTTGAACTCTCTCTGTGTCTCTCTTGTAAACTTTATATTTACTTTTCCTAATCATTTGTAAGTCAGTCTGCTGTTGCGACCTGACCCACTATACTAATACAAATCAGTGGACGTAGGACTTGCACCTTAGCATCCGAACCACTTTAAAAAGCTCTCATTGCATTTATTCTACATTCTCTCCATAATCACGTGTGTCCCTTGATCAATCAACGTTATGCACGTGTCGATTAGTTGGTGTTAAAATCACGCGTCAACAGTTTGGCGCTAGAAGGAGGGTCTGATTTAGTGTTCATCCTTCATCAGGAGAATCTTCAACCTACTGGTCCTACAACAACAAATGGTCCGCCAATATGAACCTGAGCAAGCCAACTAGCGTGTTGAGGGAGTTCCCCTAACCTAGGGGGATACCCCTTCCAGGATACTTTCAGTTTCACAAAATGCTGCGGTGGATATCCCGGCAACTTCGTAGCTTGACCCCGCCATCAGAAGCTACCTGGAGAGGTTCGACAATACTCTCCAGACGGTCAACCAGAGGCTGGACCGTTTGGACCAAGGCATATCATCTACCACAGCTGGGGCGGTGCAATCGCCAAAAACGCTTGCAGGTCATGCGAAAGCGCGACAAAGGGAAATAACCCGTGCCGCGAGCACTGCAGCGCGTAGACGTAAGGGTAAGCAAGTGGCAAAAAGTAAGCCTACGGGCTCCCAAGGACCAGCAAACACAAACCGTGCCCCGAGCAGGGTGCCGGCAAAGCTGAGACTAGACGAAAAAGTGAATCTCGAGCTGTCCCATGCCACATCATAGGTGAACCTAAGCAAAAGTGCCGGGCGCGACGATTCCTATCACCGCCAGTAGAACGATCCCGATCACTATCATGCGGGTGGTCCCCACACCTCGCGGGGCGGTTCGTACCAACGTGAGGGTTGTGAAAATGCCCCGCACAATCCATCGCCTTCACACACCTCTAGTCAGCGTGTGTCGAGAGCGGCCGAAAATGCCGGCAGAGGCGAAGAGGAGTCCGACCTCCGGACTTTCTTGAACCGTAATCGCGAAGGCCGGACTCGCATGGGTGAAAGCAATCCCCAATTGGCTCCGTTATCATAAATTGAGGAGCTACAGCGAGCTCTGGACAGGTTAAGGGAGCAGCAAAACGAATAGGCCTAGGTCGCCTCTGCATCCCCTTTCTCTCCCGAAGTGCTAGCTGCTCCACTCCCACCGGAGTTCAGAATGCCCGACATGTGACCGTTTGATGGGAACCATGACCCACAGGATCATTTGTATGAGTTCAACGACCTGATGGAGCTCCACCAGGTTTCGGACCTTGCAAAATGCCGTTGTTTGGCCGTGACGCTAACTTCTCACACCAAGCGGTGGTTAAGGTTGCTCCCAGCAGGATCGATCAGTTCATGGCCTCAGATGAGCACGACGTTCCTACGACATTTCCAAGCAAATCATAAGTTTTCGATGCCTTTGAGCTACCTCAGCAACATAAGGCAAGACAGAGACGAATCCCTGCAATCTTATATCGATCGTTTCCACAGGGAACTCAACAAGGTGACTCATGCCCCCGAAGAGTCCATCCGAACACTTATAATAGCTGGAGTTCGCCCGCAAACCGACCTGTGGAAAAAACTGCAAGCTGAGGACGATGTTTCCCTCACCAGATTTTACAACCTTGCAGAAAAATATCTTCGAATAGAGAATTCATTGGCGGCACTCCGCCGTCACGATCACGGCACTTCAAGCAGTATGTCTGGTCGGGGAGAAAATAGGAGAGCTGATCGCAAGGGAGACTGATGATAAGCGAAAAGGAAAGAAACCCTGCTACAAACACAAAAAGTCTTATGCTCCTGTTCCTCGTCGTGACCAGGACAGAGCTCAATACACTCCGCTAAACGTGTCCATATCTGT